GAAGTTTGATGTGTCTTCATGCTTAGTAATTCATCATCATCCTGTCCCGTGTCGGTTAGCGTGGGCTGTCGTGTTTCTCCATCCCACATGATCACCAAAATCACGGATCAGTTCAATGTTTTCGTCTAGCCTCATCCACCTGGCCTGGTCATTCAGGTATATTTATCTTCGCCTTCCTCTTGTTCTCTTTCCATCTCTCTTGCCAGTTGTTAAAAATTCTTGTTTATATTCTGTCAAAACAATATTGACCACTAAGGAATAGTTGTTCTTATAAATGTACGACTCTTATCTGTCTCGATAAGGACTGTTTCGATTATTTTTCTATTCTTCTATGATACTCTTTGCATTCTTCTCAGGAACCACAACTCTACCGCCAGCAATATTTTTCAACTTGTCTGCTCATTGTATTATATTATATAACAACACAGGTTCTACATTCAAGGCCAGAAAGAGAGTGACTTCCCTTGCCATTCTTGCCTCGTCGAGCCGCATGACCTCTCCTATGTTGCAGGGGTGTCATGTTTTCCGTATTGTCAATGCTTTAACTGTTCCCTCTTTTCTCGTCTTCTCAGCGTTAATAATTGATAATTTTCACTTTCTGCTACCTGCGCGACGGTTCAGGAGTATGGAAACAGCGATATGTTTCTATTCCTACGTTTCTCGTAACTGCTTTCCTTCTCTCGGGGGAAAGCCAACACCAACAAACATAGAAATACAAAAACATCCCTTTAACACTTTTACTCACTGCAAGTGACACCTTATTGGTGTTGTTAGTGAGAATCTTTTGCATCTTGCTGACCACTTTTCCCATGAAGATTCTTGTTCCAAATTCTGCGAGGCATTTTGCATTAAATGTTATGACTATTCTTAAATACTTGCATCTGTTAACTTGATTAATAGTTATCGATTGATCAAAATTGGTTGCTGTATGGTGGATAGTTGCGTATCATTTACAGGATGTTGCAGAACCAACCCCAACAGCCCCTGGCTGCTGTGTGGTTTTTCTAGGTAAATTTACGTCCAGTAGTTTGCCATTGCTTTCTGGACGATCGGCTTTCTTGATACCACTGTTGAAACCAACGCAAGGCCGATGGCCCGCAGCTGGGATCAAACCCTGCATCCCGGCATTACGAAGCGTTCGCATCAACTTAGCCGAGGGTTGCCATGTAGCACAGTGAATAAGCATTGCTTTCAGGTGGAGAGATAAAAAGAATGAGCATGTCGTGAAAAAAACTGACCAATGAAGAGAACTGATTGCCCACATCAGAAAGAGACACTCTGCATTCTTTGTTCATGTGGTGAGAAGGAGAAAACTGGAGTACGTCGTGACGGTAGGAAAATTTGAAGGAAGAAGAGGCGGAGGGAGACAGAGATCAGATGCTGGACGGTTTGACATCTTGGCATGGAGGATCATTTGTGTCAGAGCTGATTGAAAGTACACAAGACAGAAGGTTGTGGATAGACATGACTACAAGCACCACATGGCACAGACTCTAAGAAGAAGTTTTTGAAGGTTATTTTGAAAACTGCATTTCTCACATGTTCAACACTGATCTCCCGAAAGTCCACTAGTGCGCAAACATGCGTCTTTTAAAACCATCATTATCCGGCAGCAGATCCTTTGCAGAACGTTGCTCATCACAGTCTGCCTGAACGAATCTCAGTGTCTCGCCGGCTCTCCCATCTCGAGTACTTTCATATTTAAGGAGTCACTTATATTCTGTATCCATCTTTGTATTGGTTGGACCATGTCCCTCCTTCCCGGTGCCATACCTTCTGCTATTCCCCCCCCAGGGGTGCTTGATATGACCAAAATATTAGCCAATCTTCCTTGATGTTCAGATCTTTTAAAATGACAGCATTTTTCTTTTCTTGCAGATGCCTTTTATCTGGACAACCCAAAATGCCTGTTCTGTTTTGTATAGAGTTGGTAGTGGAGGTAAATTATAACCAGGTGGTCAGCCTTTTTAAGAAAAAGAAAAATGCCTCTGGTCATATTTTAGTATATATCCTGTGGTCAATCTGGCAGCAGACCACTTTGCAGTGATCTCAACAATGGTAGGGAGTGAGTGTCCTAGAGGCCCCCATTGTGAGGAAAACAAGATTAGACCCACTGCATCCCCAGCAAGCATGTCCTAGGAGTCAACTCACTAGGGATATCCTTCAAATCAAAAGAAGAAGAAAGATGAGGAGACATGGGGTCAAGCTGCATGCAGTAGGAAAGGATAGATTCAACCTGGAATGAATTGGCTGAGGGCCTATATTCCGCTGGGTGATAGAGGTTTGAGGTTAGAACAACGGATCAACATCATGGCACACGGATAGTAACCAGTAAGTGCTCCGTTATTCTTCTAACTCAAGTCTGAGTCCGAAGAAGCTCAGCACAGTGCACAGGCTCTGTAGCACTGGCGAGGATCCTGAAATACTTTGGGTAGATTTTTAACTCAAAGCTTTACCCGGGCAGCGGCGTTAGGCTACTCTTTTCAATTTCCAACTGCCAAGGGATTTTTTACGTGCTCAACAATGCACACGGGCGTCCGATCTCACTACCCAGAGACCAGGAGAAATTACTAGAAGTCCAAGTCTACGTAAAATAATCCCAGCCCTTACCTGGGTATTGAAGCTGGAACCTCTAGCACTCGAGGCGGACACCATGCCTTGAGACCACGCATAACCCTGGGCGACAGAATGCAGAATAAGAAGAAGAAAGTACATCTTAACTTTACCCTGTTTTTGTATATCTCAGGTTTATCCGTACCGTTTTAACGCTCATCTATTTCCTTAGGCATGTCTTTGAATGCATTTTAGTCTCATTCTATGTCTTTAGTGGTTCTTAAACTTCCACTGGCATACGTTAAAAGTGATACAACAATAGAAATGAAATCAAGGCTGTTAATATAGAACTATTTGTTCATTTAATAACAACATGCAAACATATAATCTGGAAGGACAGCAATAATATTGACTAACTGTCATATAGACAGCACTCATACCCACTCACAGTCCCACAAATAGCAAACATGTTCACTCCATCCCAAATAGCAACCATGTTCACTCCATCCCAAATAGCAACCATGTTCACTCCATCCCAAACAGCAACCATGTTCACTTAATGCCACTATTAACAATTATTACCACTCTGATTCACTATTGACAATTATATTCACTCTATTCTACCAGTTACAATCATGTTCACTCTAATATTCCACCAGTAACAATCATGTTCACTCTAATATTCTACCAGGAACAATCATGTTTACTCTAATATTCCACCAGTAACAATCATGTTCACTCTAATATTCCACCAGTAACAATCATGTTCACTCTAATATTCTACCAGTAACAATCATGTTTACTCTAATACTCCACCAGTAACAATCATGTTTACTCTAATATTCCACCAGTAACAATCATGTTCACTCTAATATTCTACCAGTAACAATCATGTTTACTCTAATACTCCACCAGTAACAATCATGTTTACTCTAATATTCCACCAGTAACAACCATGTTCACTCTAATATTCTACCAGTAACAATCATGTTTACTCTAATATTCTACCAGTAACAATCATGTTCACTCTAATATTCCACCAGTAACAATCATGTTCACTCTAATATTCTACGAGTAACAATCATGTTTACTCTAATATTCCACCAGTAACAATCATGTTCACTCTAATATTCTACGAGTAACAATCATGTTTACTCTAATATTCCACCAGTAACAATCATGTTCACTCTAATATTCTACGAGTAACAATCATGTTTACTCTAATATTCCACCAGTAACAATCATGTTCACTCTAATATTCTACGAGTAACAATCATGTTTACTCTAATATTCCACCAGTAACAATCATGTTCACTCTAATATTCTACGAGTAACAATCATGTTTACTATAATATTCCACCAGTAACAATCATGTTCACTCTAATATTCCACCAGTAACAATCATGTTTACTCTAATATTCCACCAGTAACAATCATGTTCACTCTAATATTCCACCAGTAACAATCATGTTCACTCTAATATTCCACCAGTAACAATCATGTTCACTCTAATATTCCACCAGTAACAATCATGTTTACTCTAATATTCCACCAGTAACAATCATGTTCACTCTAATATTCCACCAGTAACAATCATGTTCACTCTAATATTCCACCAGTAACAATCATGTTCACTCTAATATTCCACCAGTAACAATCATGTTTACTCTAATATTCCACCAGTAACAATCATGTTCACTTTATGATCTACTATTAACAATCATCTTTGCTCTAATATTTCACCACTAATGATCATGTTCACTGTAAGATTCCAACTATTAACAATTATGTTCACTCTAATCCCCCACTAGCAACAGTCGAGCTCACTCTAATATATCCCCAGTAACAATCATGGTCACCATCTCTCAAGTAACAATCGTGTTCACTCTAATATTCCACCAGTAACAATCATGTTCACTCAAAGTCCTCACTAGTAACAACCAAGTTCACCCAAATTCCCCACCAGTAACAACCATGTTCAGTCCAATCCTCCACCAGCAACAATCATGCTCACTCAAATCTTCCAATAGCAACAATCATGTTCACTCAAATCTCATACCAGTTGCAATCATGTCTACTCTAAGATTCCACCAGTAACAATCATGTTCACTATATCCCACTAGTAACAAATCATGTTCACTCAAATTTCCTCCTAGTAACAAACATCAATCATGTTCACTCAAATTTCCCATCAGAAACCATCATACTTCCTCAATATGACACAAACATCAATCATGTTCACTCAAATTTCCCATTTGTAACAACCATGTCCACTCCAATTTCCCACTAGTAACCATCCACCCAAAACACACTTGCAAAAATCATGTTCCCCCAATTTTAACTCTATAGCAACAATGGTGCTCATTTGATGTCCTTTTGGCAGCAAGTAACGGCCAGCCATTAGTCCAAACTTTGTCCCCTTCCTGCGTGCGTACAGTGGATGCAATCTACTTCCGCTTCTCTGCCAGCCAATCATCGATCTTCCTCTTCAGATCTGTGGCTGCACAAGGCAAAGAGAGACCAGTATTACATTACACATATAAGATAAGAGAGACTTGCTATACAAGATAAGAGAGACCATGCTACACAAGATAAGAGAGACTTGCTATACAAGATAACAGAGACCATGCTACACAAGATAAGAGAGACCTTGCTATACAAGATAAGAGAGACCTTGCTACACAAGATAAGAGAGACCTTGCTACACAAGATAAGAGAGACCTTGCTATACAAGATAAGAGAGACCTTGCTATACAAGATAAGAGAGACCTTGCTATACAAGATAAGAGAGACCTTGCTACACAATATAAGAGAGACCTTGCTACACAAGATAAGAGAGACCATGCTACACAAGATAAGAGAGACCTTGCTATACAAGATAAGAGAGACCATGCTACACAAGATAAGAGAGACTTGCTATACAAAATAAGAGAGACCATGCTACACAAGATAACAGAGACCTTGCTATACAAGATAAGAGAGACCTTGCTATACAAGATAAGAGAGACCTTGCTACACAAGATAAGAGAGACCTTGCTACACAAGATAAGAGAGACCTTGCTACACAAGATAAGAGAGACCTTGCTACACAAGATAAGAGAGACCTTGCTACACAAGATAAGAGAGACCTTGCTACACAAGATAAGAGATACCTTGCTATACAAGATAAGAGAGGCCTTGCTAAACAAGATAAGAGAGACCTTGCTATACAAGATAAGAGAGGCCTTGCTATACAGGATAAGAGAGACATTGCTACACAAGATAAGAGAGACCTTGCTACACAAGATAAGAGAGGCCTTGCTATACAAGATACGAGACCTTGCTACACAAGATAAGAGAGACCTTGCTATACAAGATAAGAGCGACCTTGCTATACAAGATAACAGAGACCTTGCTATACAAGATAAGAGAGACCTTGCTATACAAGATAAGAGAGACCTTGCTATACAAGATAAGAGAGACCTTGCTATACAAGACAAGAGAGACCATCATTACATTACACATATGTATTTGCTACACAATTACACATTTTTCTACGCATGACAAAGAGACCATCCTTATTATATTACATAAGTATTTGCTATTTTTGCTGTGGCATAGTGGCTAGATGCTCGCCAGTGGATCGGCAGGTCGTGGGGTCGCTTTCTAACAGAGCCGGACTATTTTTCAAAAATCACTTTGGCTTCCAGGTCGATCCAGCCTTGAGTGGGTATTGGGTGCAGTCCCGGGAAGTAAAGGCGGCCGGCATGATGCTGACCACATCGCCCATCTTGTGCCGATTGGCCTATAAAATATAGGTCTAGCCCTATATGCCTAAAAGCGGGGAAAAGGGTCCTTTACTTTATTTGCTGTATAATTATATAATGTGCCTTCTAAACAATCCTAAGTTATGACAATGTTCCTTTAAAGAAATATCAAAGAGATGACCAGTGTCAGGACAGCTGTAGTGGACAGATGATTGCCTGCAATTCCAAAGGTCATGGGCCGACATCTGAATAAGGGAGTCACTGTGGTGTAGTGGACAGAATACAATGAGGGGAAAAATATCAAAGCGATACCAGTGTCAGGACAGCTGTACTGGACAGATGATTGCCTGCAATTCTAAAGGTCATGGGTCGAAATCTGAATGAGGGAGTCACTGTGGTGTAGTGGACAGATGCATGCTTGCCAATCCAAAGGTCATGGGTTCAAAAATGAACACAGCTATCTTCTTCTTCGTCAACATTCTGATGTTCATTGCTGCAGGTATCACCTGCCTCCAGTCATCTCTCTCTCTGGTTGGCCTTCTCTTGCCAGTTGGTAACATTGAGTGTTTGCAGGTCTGGTCATTATCTCTCCATCGTCTTCTTGGTCTGCCTAGTTGTCTATGACCATTCAGTTCCCTTAAGTATACAGTTTTTACCTCTCTGTCATCTGACATCCTTTCAATATGCCCCAACCATTTCAGTCTATTAGCTCTTATGATGCCAGTGATCAATGGTGATTTAAACAGATTATCAAAGCAGCTATACATTCACAAATGACCTTGGTTCCCAGGCTGACCCAGCCTTGAGTGGGTAACAGGCAAACTCCTGGGAAGTAAAGGCAGCCGACGTGATATTGATAACAGAGTAATCAGAAGCAAAAGTAAAACATATCAATTTAAAATACAGAAAAGAGAGTTTAATTTAACTATCCACTATTTAACAAACAAATCAAGAAAAATAAAAAAAAAAAAAAAAAAAGACTAACCAGGAACCAGTTGGTCCTCTCGAAGAGGCTGTCGGTTAAAGGGATCGGTCTGAGAGTTGAGGAGATGCCTGGTGATGATTGCTCGCTCCATGACCTGCCCGCTTGGCAAGATGACTGGGTCCATCATAAGTGTGTCCATGAGAGGATCTGAAGAAACAGGAAAAAATGTGCACCGGTAAACTAAAGCAAAAATGGCAGAAATCGTACAGGTTACAGGCAATGTCTTCTTTTTCTGTTGTTGTCACACTGATACCAGGTTGAAACCCAGCATCACAGTTTTCTGTATTTGTCTTGTGCTTCTCGAATGGCTTGGGTGATGCATTTGTTTATGTATTTGCAAGTTTCATCAACATAGTTTATCTATCTCTTTCTGGTCTTCCTCTCGCCTTCTTCCCATATGTACTGCTGTAACCAAAAATCATATGTGCAGCCTGGTCTGGCTGCATTTTTACTAGATGGCCACACCATTTCATTCTTTGCCTGTCATTAAAATTCGGCCAGTCTTTTTCCAACTTTCTCTCTAATACTGGTATTCCTAACCCTGTCTTTCATGTGTTGTAAGGGACATTAAAGTTTGCATCTCATTCTATACAATATCCACAGATTTGTCCTATAATTCATTCTTTCTTGTGCTGTAGCAGTTGACTACACCAACCATTTGTCATACAGATGATGCGAGATATGACAGTGCAAATTGCACCTAAAATAAACGATAACACATACAAACACTGCACTTGTAACTAAAACAAAATGACATTGTATACAACAGTGCATCTGTAACCAGAAAATTACCTTACATATAAGAGTGCACTTGTAACTAAAACAAAACGACATTACATACAACAGTGCATCTGTAACCAGAAAATTACATTACATATAAGAGTGCACTTGTAACTAAAACAAAACGACATTACATACAACAGTGCATCTGTAACCAGAAAATTACCTTACATATAAGAGTGCACTTGTAACTAAAACAAAACGACATTACATACAACAGTGCATCTGTAACCAGAAAATTACCTTACATATAAGAGTGCACTTGTAACTAAAATTAAATTACATAACATTCAACAGTGCATCTGTAACTAGAAAATGACATTAAATATAAGAGTGCACCTGTAACTAAACCAAAATGACAAAACATACAAGAGTGCATCTGTAACCAGAAAATAATATTACATATAAGAGTGTACTAGAAACTAAAATAAAATGACATAATATACAACAGTGCATCTGTAACCAGAAAATAACCTTACATATAAGAGTGTACTTGTAACTAAAATTAAATTGTATTACATACAACAGTGCGTCCCTAGCATAAAAAATAATTTCATTACATATAAAAGTGCATTCGTAAATAAAAAAAAATGACATAACATATAACAGTGCATTTTTAACTAAAAAAAAAAATTACATTACACATACAACCACATTTGTAACTTAAAAAAAAACAAAAAAACAAGAACAGTGCATCTGTAACCAGAAAATTACCTTACAGTTTGCTTGTAACTAAACAAAACCTCATTAACTCATCAGTGGATCTGTTCCCAGAAATTGAACTTACTGAACTTGTGTTTCTAAATCAAATAGCATTAAATACAACAGTGCATCTGTGCTGAAAATTCCTTACAATAAGAGTGCACTTGTAACTCATCCGATGTTAAATGCAGTGCCTGTAACCATACACTCAATGGCATTGTCAAAAAGTTCCTTTCTATAGGATCTCTGTAAAACAGTAAGTAAAAAGTAAGTAAAACAGTAAGTAAACAGTAAGTAAAACAGTAAGTAAAACAGTAAGTAAAACAGTAAGTAAAACAGTAAGTAAAACAGTAAGTAAAACAGTAAGTAAACAGTAAGTAAACCAGTCAAGTAAAACAGTAAGTAAAACAGTAAGTAAAACAGTAAGTAAAACAGTAAGTAAACAGTAAGTAAAACACATTAAATAAGTAAAACTGTAAGTAAGTTATTACATATAAAGTACAACAGTAAGTAAAACAAAAAGTACACATAACAACAAACAGTAAGTAAACAGTAAGTAAACAGTAAGTAAACAGTAAGTAAAACAGTAAGTAAAACAGTAAGTCAAGGACCCCATTCCAAGCTTTCAGACGTACTGGGCATATAGGGCTAAACCTATATTTTAAAGACCAACAAGCGCTGGGTGGATGATGAGGTCAGCATCATGCCGGCCACCTTTACTTCCCAGTTCTTTAACCTGGTAACCATTGAAGGCTGGATTGTCCTGGGAGCCAAAGTCATTTTTTAAAATCTTTGTCTCGAGAAAAATCCCATTTGAAAACTAAAATTTCTCTGAAAAATTAAATAAAATCTGTGCAGTTGAGCGTAAAGTTTTAATTCATTTTGACCTGTCGGGAGTAGGAAATCAAACACGTGCCTTCGGCATATTGTGTCTGATAATTATGAGCCTTTAAAATGCAGTCAGTTGAAATTTGCCATAACTGCACCCGAGGAGCAGCTGGCCAGATTGTTCAGACACTAGGCTCCTATTGTGGAGACCCAGGTCAAATCCTCAGTAAGGCTAGGGGTAAAAAGTACAGTAAAACAGTCAGTCAAATCCTAAAACCTGCCCAGTCCATGCAAGTAAAATCCTCAGTAAGGCTAGGGGTTCTTCTTCTTCTGGAGTGGGGGGGGGGGGGGGAGTTACAATCCTAACCTTGCTCAGGCATGGCCCTATTTTTTAAATCCTGACAAGGCTGGGGGTGATTCTACGGGATGCCGGGGTCCAATCTTTAACCTAACCCTTGAAGGCTAGTTCTGTGAGCCCATAAATCATCAGTAAGTTTAGGGGTTCTACGGGAGGAGGGTAAAATTCTGACCAGCCCAGTCTGTTGTTTTAAATCCCCAGGCTCAAAGACCTCCCTGCCCCACACCACAAAAGTTGAAAATGCAGGTAGTAATGGCAAGATAACATCAGAGAAACCTGACAACAGCACGATGTGTCTATAGTCGAGCAGACCAGAAAAACAAAAAAACAGAATCTTATGTCTCTCTCAACACCAGAAGCAGTAGATGGGGAGGTGGAAAAAAGAAAAAAAAAAAAAAGGTGGCAGTTCATGTCGACGTTGTTGTTAATAATAAAAGATTTGGGATTAAAGATTGGTACAGCCAGGCATGAGAGGCAAACCAGATCTGCGTGAGTCTTCAAAACCAGTGCAGGAATGGATGCCAGTGCATATGATGGGAGGGGGGGGGGGGGGGGGGGTGTGGGGGTGTGTGGGATAAATCATGGCACCTATGGATATGTTGGACGTGCCTTGTGAATAACAAAAGCTTCAAAACTCATCTACAGAAAAAAAAAAGAAATTAAAATTACTTAAATATTTATCCGTAATGTCAAATCCTTACAGCTATTGGGAAGGCTAACAGACAACAAAATCCTACAGAAGACGGATGTGTTGGCTGAAAGGTGCAAATATCCGCAGCCATGCTGTAAATGGACACAACGTATTTACGTCTTTGGGGGAATGCAAAAGAAGGAGTCAGTTCTGTTGTGCGGTGCTAAGGAACAGAGAACTACAACAATTATCTGCTCCCTATGTGGGATCCAGTGTCCAATTATGGATGGCTGAAATCAGACCCCCCACCCCCCCCCCCCCCCCCCCCCCCCCCCCCCCCAGACTGGCTGCTGCCACTCCTTTGAGCGATCAGCTGCGTTATGGATTTGCTGAAATCAGATTTGTTGGGTTAAAAGGTGCAGCAGATTGGCTGCTGCCACTCCTCTTGAGCAGAGTATCCGTATTTGGCACAGAGGAGGATGTATCTTGCAAGATGTCTCTGTATCTTCCGTAGAGTGCAACAGATCAGAGAGTATCCGTATCTTGCACAGAGTATCTGTATCTTGCACAGAGTATCTGTATCTAGCACAGAGTATCCGTATCTTGCACAGAGTATCCGTATCTTGCACAGAGTATCCAATCTTCCTAGAGTATCCACATCTTCCGTAGAGTATCCACATCTTCCGTAGAGTATCCACATCTTTCGTAGAGTATCCACATCTTCCGTAGAGTATCCATATCTTCCGTAGAGTATCCACATCTTCCGTAGAGTATCCATATCTATCAAAAAGTATCCATATCTTCCATAGAGTATCCACATCTTCCACAGAGTATCCACATTTTCCCCAGACTATCCATATCTTCCACAAAGTATCCAAATCTTCCATAGAGTATCCATATCTTCCACAAAGTATCCATATCTTCCATAGAGTATTCATATTTTCCAGAGAATATCCACATCTTCCATTCAGTATCCATATCTTCCATAGAGTATTCATATTTTCTAGGTGAATATATTTATCTTCCACAGGGGAATCCAAGATAGAGTTTTAATTATGTTGCTCAAATGCCTGAGCATGGGAAGAGGTTAGTAGATGGGAGGTGATATTTATTTGGAGGGGAAAACGGAAATGGGGACAGCATGGGGACAGTATGGGGACTATTGGCATGGGAACTGTTGGCATGGGAACTGTTAGCATGGGAACTGTTGGCATGGGAACTGTTGGCATGGGAACTGTTGGCATGGGGACTGTTGGCATGGGGAATAGCATGGGGACTGTTGGCATGGGAACTGTTAGCATGGGAACTGTTAGCATGGAAACTGTTAGCATGGGAACTGAGTTCCGTGATATCAATTCTTGATTCATTCATTCATTAGATACATGAGAACAGCAGGCTCCAAGGAAAGAGGCTGACCACACATAACTCTTCTCTGCTAGCTTCACAGCAAAATCAGTGGGGGGGGGGGGGGGGGGGGGGGGGGGGGGGAGAGAGAGATTTTATTCATTCAAAGTGCCAGGTGGCAAACAAACCTCATCATTAGCAATGGCTTGAGCAAACGTTTCACAGTCCAGGTGCAGGTAGATGTCTGTGAGCACATTCAGCAACTTCTTGGGCTCCCAGCCGTACTTCTCTGGGGTCTTCACCTTCAGGCTCTTACACTTGGGCCCACACAGCTGGTGCAGATTGAAGTTCAGCATGGCTGTTAATCGATCAACCAACTCCTGGAGGGAAAGAAGAAAAGTAAGACTGTATTTATTGCGAAAAGAAATCATATGTCCCTATGTTGGCGGGAAGGGGGGGGGGGGGGGGGATTTAGTGGTCTCGAGGTATGGTGTCTGCCTTGAGTACAGGAGGTCCCTGGTTCAAGCAGCGGGGAAGGCTGGGATTTTTTCATGTGGGCTTCTAGTAATCTCCCCTGGTCTCTGGGTAGTAAGAGCAGACGCCCGTGTCTTTTGTTGCACATGTAAAAAAAATTCCTTGGTAGTTGTTAATCAAAAGTGTAACCTAATGGTGCTACCTAGGTAAAATTTGGAGTTAAAAATCTGCCTAAAGTATTTCAGGATCCCTGCCAGTGAAAAAGAGTTGGTGCACTGTGCTGAGACTCTTCTGACTCAGGCTTGAGTTAGAATAGAGCACTTTTGGGTTACATCTGTGTGCCGTGATGTTGATCCATTGAAAATATAAACAAACAAACAGGTTCCTACGTAGCTTCCGGGCTCCCCATTTGGGGAAAAAGGGGGGGGGGGGAGGGGTGAGTACAAACTACCCCTTAACAAGCATAAGAGGCAACTAATTAAGCAACTTTTTTTCCTGTAATCAAATATGTTGGACTGAAAGGCAGAGATATTGCAGCCTAGCTGTAAACCATTTAAGAACATGACAACCACACTTTCAAGTGTGAGTGCAGAAGAAAAAAAATAATGTAACATAAAAGATAAACAAAAAGTCGTCAGTCTCGCCGTATAAGTGCTCCGTTACTGTGCCAGTGAAAAAGCACACAAAATTTTCTTCACTGAAAACTAGTCAAAAACTTGTCAGTCCCAGCAAAATCTTAAAGCTTGCACATGCAAAGTACAAAATACATAATGCAGCTGTCAGATGTGCCAGCACTAATGGTCCCACAGCAGATCTGCAGCTCACTGTTGGAGCAAACGGTCAATCACAAAAGCTGGCACTTCACCCGCAAAAGTGCGCACAATTTTAAACGTGATCGGCCACCTGCCATTTTAGTGAACTCAACAATAATAACAACAACAAACAACAACAACACAAACCGGAGAAGGCAGCTAGAGAATGAAGTTAAAAAGACGGGGGTCAGAAGGTCGTGGGGTGAGCTGCATTAGACAGTGAAGGATAGAATGACCTGGCGTGAGTTGGCTGAGGGCCTGTGTTCAACTGGGGGATTACAATGTGGGATATCTTTACACGAGGATTCCCTGATTAAGAAGGTTGGGGGAAATACTCGAGGGTCACCAAAAAAACGAGAGAAGCCAGACCCTCGGGGACAGCGAGGTTCTCAAGGAGGGGAACGACCGCGTGTTGCCACGTGGAACCCAAGGAGAATTAGTTATAAGATCAGCCCATGTTCTTATTAGACAGGTTGTGTTGGACCGTTGGAGCGAGAGGGTGTGTGTTTGATCCAGAGTGAATGGGGACAATCCTTGTCAATGTGAAACTGATTACTTCAAGACAACGACTCGACTACAACGTTCATCAAAGTGAAGTTCAACTGGCTCAGTTGCAGGAAACCACAAATGCAGCGGAGTCAACCATGCGGAGATGTTGAAGGGAAGACAGAGAACTCCAGAGTGTGAATGCGTCACATTTCAATGTATTGGTGTTTGAACGATGTGGTGCTCGGATGCTGTGCTTGTTGAGTAGGACATGGTCTGGACATATTGTGTAAGTGCTCAAATATTGATAAACAGTTATGTATCACGGAGATGGTGTCTACTCATAACATCTGTGTCGTCGTAGAGTGTCAGTCACATCATTAACTAGAGTGCACTCCCCTAGACAACAGCCAAGGACCGAGCAGACAACACTGCAGGGATAGAACGCAGAAGAACAAGAAGAAGAACAAGAACACACATGCAAAGGTTTGACAATGACACCTAACGCACAAGAATGGTTTCACAGCAGTCACTGCAGGACAATGGCTTGACAATAACAGCGCATACAACAATGGTTTGACAATAACAGCGTACATTCAACAATGGTTTGACAATAAAAGCGTACATACAACAATGCTTTGACAATAACAGCGTACATACAACAATGGTTTGACAATAACAGTGTACATAAAACTATGGTTTGACAATAACAGCGTACTTACAACAATGATTTCACAATAACAGCGCACATAAACAATGGTTTGACAAAGTTAACTCACATACAGCGATCGTCTGACATGTCTAGACACATAACAATGGTTTAAAAATCACACTTTACGCATAATAATAGTTTGACAATAGTCCTTATTACAATGGTTTGACAATGACATCTCACACACAGCAATGGTTTTGACATAACATTTCACAGATGACAATGACACCTCATAAATGACAATGATTTGATAGTGATACTTCACCACACAAAAATGGTTTGACAATGATACTTCATACGTGACAATGGTTCAACAAATGACACGTCACACATAAAAATGGTTTGTCAATAACCCATTTTTCATGACAACTGTTTGACGATGATACTTTACATATGTCAAATGGTAAAAAAAGATTCCATATTTAATCATCACAAGTGATGAGATATTGTACTACTGACATTTAATGACACCTGCTGATGACATCAACTCAACACTAACAACCAGATGACATTTGATGATGACATTAACTTAATGTTTACCACAACAACTTAACACTGACAACTAACTGGCACTTACAGGCACTAAGAA